ACACTGCTGAGGGGAGCAGCGGGTGGGTCAGGAGAGGTCTGCTGTGCCATGTGGATCACCTCCCTGGCTGAGGATCAAACGAAAGCCATAGCAGTGACAGCGCTGAGACTTAATCTGTTGTTATCAGGACTTTTTTGATAATGGCCATTCTGACTATTGTGAGGTGAAATCTCATTGTAGATTTGATTTGCATTGTTCTAATGATAAGTGATCTAGAACATCTTTTCATGTGTCTGTTGGTCATCTGTATATCTTCTTTGGCCAAATGTCTATTTAGATCCTCTGCCCAATTTTTAATCAGGTTGTGTGTGTTTGTTATTGTTGAGTTTTATGAATTCTTTGTACCTATATATATTTTGGATATTAACCCTGTGACTGCTACACAGTTTGCAAACATTTTCCCATTCATTTTAACAATGATAGACATATGAAAGAATGTTTCCATTTCATTTATTTCTGCTCTAATTTTTAGTTTTTCTTGTCTTCCACTGGTTTTGTGGGGTGCTTTGTTGTTATTTTTCTAGTTTATTCAACTACAGAGTTAGACTGTTAAATTGCAGTCTCTCTTATTTTTTTTTATGTGGGCCTGTATTGCTAGTCTCCACATATTTTTATTTGTTCCAGGACTCCTTTTAAGGTTAGTTTCTAGTTTCAGAGCATTATGATCTATGAAGATGCTTGATATTTCTTTTTTTGTATACTTTGAGACTTTTCTTATATCTTAGTGTATGGTCTATTCTCGAAAATGTTCCATGTGTAATGGAGAAGAAGGTGTATTAATTCTGTTTTTTCTGAAGGTGTATTAATTATTTTAGGATGGAAAATTCTTAAATGTCCAGTAAATCCATCTGATCCAATACTTCATTTCAGGTCTTTCTTCCTTTGTTAATTTTGTGTCAGAATAATCTATCCTTTTTGTATCAGTGGTGTGTTGAAATCTCTGACGATTGTATTTTTGTTGGTTTATTGTTTTGGGTCTGTTAATAGTTGCTTCATATAACTACATGTTATTATATTCAGAGTATAAAAATTAATAAGAGTTGTATCTTTTTAAAAAGATTTATTTATTTATGCATACAGAACTGGGATACAGCCAGAGGTGCAGGGGCGGTGACAGGGTTCACCAGAGACAGAATGGGGAGCAGAACAGGCTGACTGAAGAAGTACACTGCTGAGGGAGCAGCGGGCCGGTCTGGAGAGGTCTGCTGAGCCATGTGAGTCAGCTCCTGGGCCAGAGATGGAACTCATGCTGAAGTAACTAAAGCTAGGTTCCTAGTGCTGTGCATTAACCTGTTGCGCCACCAGGGAGGGCCCAAGAGTTATATCCACCAGGGAGGGCCCAAAAGTCATATCTTCTTGGTGACTTGTTCCTTAATCATTATATAGTGTCTTTTTCCCTGGTTACCTTTTTTAGTTGAAAGTCTATCTTACTGGACATGAGAATTGCAGTTCCTGACTTACCCTCTGAATTACTAGGATGTATGACCTTATTCCAGCCTGTTTTTGTTTGTTTGCTTGTTTGTTTTTATCTTTTGGTTTTAAACGGGCTTCTCATAAACAAAGTATTGATGGCTGCAAAATTTTCACCCACATTGTTAGCCTGTTTTTTTGTAATTGGTGAATTAAGATCACTCACATTTAGGGTGATTATTTATATGTACTGGTTTCAGTCATTTTGGTTTTGATTTTTGACTTTTATTTTTCTGTTTTTCTCCCCGTTTGTTTCTCTCTGCTCTTCCTGGGTGGCATTCCTTAGTATTTCCATCAATTTCTTTGCTTCTTCATCTGCAGGTGTTTATTCTGGCTTTTTCGTTAGTGGTTACTATGTGATTTTACTTGAATTCCTATTTTGGGTCCTTTATGAGCTGGTATTTGCTCTCCAACGTTTACTATACTGGTTCTGCCGATTTCTACTTCCCCATTGGTATTTGGTGTTCTTAGGGTGTTCTTGCTCTTTGTACTAGTATTACATTGTTCTTGTTGTTTTGCTAAGGAAATTTGCACTTCAGATTTTTCTTTTCTTGTGGAAAAACTCTGAAGTGCAGGTCTAGTGGTGATAGTCGCCACTAGCTTCTGTTTATCTGAGAAAAGCCTTTATTACCTTTTCTGTTTGTGATTTGGAGGTATATAATCTTTCCTTTAAGGTGTTGTTACCATACCACACCCACCATCCATATACCTTCAGTCATCCACCTTAGTACTTTGTGCTCCGTCCTCACTTTGTTCTCTTCTCTCCCATCCCTTTCTGGTAACCTTAGTTCTACAGTCAAATTTCTACATGCATACTTAGTTCTTCCATCTATTTTTTTGTTGGGTTATTTGTTTTCTTTTTGATGAGTTAGGTGAGTTCTTGGTAGGTCTTGGATATCAGCCCCTTACTGGATATAAGGAGTACAAATGTTTTTTCCATTCAGCAGGGTATCTTTTTGTTTTGATCGCCATCTCTTCTGCTGTACAGATCCCTTTAGTTTGATGTAGTTCCAGTTGTTTATATTCCCTTTTGTTTTCCTTGCTGTTGGAGATGAATCCACACAGACACCTCTGTAGCTTCTGTCATGGAGTGTATGCTTTCTTCATCCAAATCTTTTCTCCACTTTGAGTTAATTTTTTTGTATGGGGTGAGACAGTTTCCTTTGTAGGTTGTCTGTTTCAATGCCACAGCCAGTTTCAATAGTCTTTCTTTGTCTTAAACTCTTAGAAATTTCACTACACTGTAGTGCATGGTGTAGGTCTCATGATATTTAGGTACCCAGTGTCCTTTTAACTGCATATACTTGTGTATTCACTTTCTTCTCTAGTTCTGGAAGTTTCCTCTATTTCTTTAAATAAATTCTCAGGTCCCTTTTCTTTCTCTTCCACTTCAAGGATACCCATGATCCTTATATTTCCTTTTCTTATGGAATAAATTATTCTCAAAGTGTTTTTTCATTTCCCACCTTCACATCTCTCTTCTCCCACCTGATTCTTTATGCATTATTATTTTCACAGTCACTTATTTACTTTTCATTTGATCTCTTCTACTTCCATAGCTGTCTCTAGAGGTTGTGGGTTTTTTTTTTTAATTTTATCAATCTTTTTCATTCTTCATGTGAACTATTTTCTTATTTAAAGCTTCAGTTTCATACTTCAGCTCATTAATTTCGTTTCTCAGGACATTCATGTGTTCCTGAGTTTTCTTGTATATATTTGATCATCTTTTCTTTGATTTCTTTGAGTTTTCTTATCATGGTAGTTTTGAACTCTCTAACTGGTAGGAAAAGGAGATTTCCCATGTGTTTGTGGTTGGGGTCTGGAGACGTGGTGTCTTGTGTGGTGTACCATTTCCCTGGGGACTCACATTGCCACTTATATTTTTGTGTCTCCATTATTGGCTTTCTGATTGATGGTGCAGAACTCCTTTTCCAGTGAATGGTGCTGTATGTCAGGTAAAACTAATCTGTAACTGGTTCTTCTGATGGTGGGAAGAGCCTCACAGGGATCTGTTGATTCTGATATGCCACATCTTCATTCTTCTCAATCACTAATCCATACTTTCTCTGTTTTCACCCCAGTTCTTGTTTTCAGTCTCATTCTTGGCCCATTCCTTCATGCCAGAGAGTCTAATATTCTTAGTGCTTTTCAATTTTCTAGCCCCCCTCTTTCATATTTTAAGCATAATCATTTATTTTATCACAATACAGAATTTCTCCCCTCATGTGTGACACTGTAGTTTTTCCTCCACCACAGTGCTTCCTGTGCTCCACATACTCTCCTGCGCCCTCCTTCCCACTCCTATTCCCTGCTTCCCCCCCCCCCTTCTCCTTCCCTCCTCAGATCAAGGGTCTACTTTCAAGGTCGGTCTCTATAGTTTTTGTCTGATCCTTTGTTGGTTTCTCTTGATTCTACATATATTACTTTGCTTATGATAATCCCTTCCAATTCCATCCATGTTGCTGCACATGGTGTAAGTTTATCTTTTTTGATCACGGTGTAGTATTCCATTGAGTGTATGTACCACATTTTCAGAATCCACTCCTTTGTTTTGGGGCATTTTGGTGGTTTCCATTTCTTAGCTATTGTAAATAGTGCTATTGTAAACATAGGAGTGCAGATTTCCTTTCAAATTAATATTTTTGTGCTCTTTGGATAGATAACTCGGAGTGTAACTGCTGGGTTATAGGGTAAATTCATTTTTCTTCTTTTGAGAAATTGCCACCGTTTCCATGAGGGGCTGGACTAGTCTATATTCCCACCAATAGGATAATGGGGTCCCTTTTCTCCATACTTCACCAGCAGTTGCTGTTGGTATTTTTGATATAACCACTCATTGTGGTTTTGAGTTACATTTCTCTGATGATAAATGTTGATGAACATATATTCGAGTCTGTTGGCCCCTTCCCCTCTTTCTTAACTTCATACTACAGTCTATCAGTTTACTCTCTAATCATCAACATGAATAAGTTAAAGATGCAGAGATAGATGTGTCTTACCCTGATTGCAAATCTGCATGGGTGTCCATTGTCAGCATCTTTAACAGCTTAAAAAACTCTTTATGGGCCCTCCTTGGTGATACAGTAGGTTAAAGCACAGCACTAAGAAGCTAAAGCCACTTCAGCATGAGTTCGATTCCCAGCCAGGGAGGTGACCCACATGGCACCGCAGACCTCTCCCAACCCACGTGCTGCTCCCCTCAGCAGTGTACTTCGTCATTCTGCCTGTTCTGCTTCTCACTGTCTGGTGAATCCTCTCACTGCCCCTGCACCTCTGGCCTGTTCCCCAGTTCTGTGTGCATAAATAAATAAATCTTTTAAAAAATTATTTATGATCTTATCCTTAACCTCCTACTACAGCATCATTTCTCACCAGCGCCCCTTAACACTCCTTCCTTCTGTAAAGAATGTTTTCATCAGTCGTAGGTATATGACTTGTCCTGTGCTGCACACCGTTGCCCATGCTGTTTCTTCTGTTTGAAACAACATCTCCCTTACTTTCACCATCACCTCTACCTTATTAATTCCTGTTTAACCCTCTAGCCAGCACTCGTTTTCAGTATTATTTTCTCCAGGGACCAGGTCTGTCTTTTTCTCTAACGGGTTGGCAGTGACTAGCACATTGGTGTTACCAAACAATCATTTTCTAAATAAAACATAAAATAAACAAAAAGCTGAGCTGTTGGTGTTAAAAGTGTTCCCCAGTGCTATTCACTTGCCTCTCCATCAATACACTTCCTCCTACTATCAATTCCGTTGCCCCTGCAGAACCCTGAGACTCAGCAGAATGTAGTTTGGAAATCATTACCTAAAGATAAAATACAAAATCTTAAAACAGACACACTTGCCCTCCATGATGATCTACCCCTGTAAACCTTTTCAGTTTGTTTTTTTTTTCCCTCTGCCACTCTGCAAGGTATTTCATTCTACGGAAGTATTGAAGTATATATAATTATATTGTCTCCCTCTCCCCCTCCCTCTCTCTCTCTCCCTCTCCCACTCCCCCTCTTATATCTCCTTCTCCCTCTCCCCCTCCCCCCTTTCTCCCCCCTCCTCTCTCTGGCTCCCTCTTTTTTTCAGGAATCCTTCTCTATAACCACCCTTACCAACCCTAGACTAGATAGATGTCTCTCTTGGGTTGCCTCACAATATTTTGTGCATATTTCAGTTTATCTAGCAGGTTACTTTATAGACTGCATTGTGTGTCACTTCTACTACATCATGAGCTAGTTGAGGGACAGACTAACTCATTCATCTTTGTATGCATAGTGCCTAGTACAATAGGGTGTTTAGTAAATGTTTTACTAATGAGTTAATGGATAACCACAAATGTTTCACTGAACTTTTCTCAGTCCACTGTCATTGTTTCTCTGTACATTTCCTTCAAGAATATTTGTTGGTTTTATGCTTTCAGTTAGAAGTGATCATGCTGACATTATGTCCAGGGGACTCTGTAATCATATCCTGCTTGTCCTGCTCCAGAGCAGAGCAATGCAGTGCTGTGAAGTTCTTAGGATACAAAAATACACAAAAGATAACAACAAAGAAACACAAATTAGCACTTGGTTAACTATATTTTTGCCCCAAAAACAAAGCATGGAGAATACTGGTAAGCTGGAATGAACTGAGTAGTATACACATTTCCTCACAAACCCAATTCAACACATCACACCAGAGGAACAGGAAAAGGAAGTGTGTTTTCCCCTGTTGCTTACTATCAAGCTATCTGAGGCCTCACTGAGATTATTGGCCCCCAGCCCAGTATCCTGTCCTCTTGAAGGAAAGTAGAGAGAGGAGCTGACCTGGTCTCTTTCCTTATGGGTAAGCTTATGACTTCAATGACATGAGTATAAAAGGGAGAAAAGGAAACATTGAGGCTGGGCATACTGAGTCTAAAGAAGTATTATCTCCATTTCTTCTGCCCCAAAAATAACAAACACAGTTTTAACTATGGTACATCTTATATGTTGATAAACTAGCCCCAGTTTATCTTGACTTTTACTTCTCTCTAGCTATAGACTAACTGTTATCATTAGGGTATTCTTTGACTCTCACATTCCTGGTCCTGGTCTAAAGTCTATGTATATCAAAGAGGCTGGGGATTCAGCTCTTATTAAAGCTACAATATGCCTCACAAATGATTTTTCCTACTTAAACATTGAATCTCAAGTATAAAATGAAATGTGACAGTCTCCAAGAGTACATAGGTATATAGCTAAAAAGCAAAATCTAATACTCAAGTTGTAAGACTTTTCCCCTTTTTTCATTTAGAAATTGTTATTGGTAAGTATCTGGTATGATGATCACTTCATCAAAGTTCCTCAGTAACTGATAATTTTCTCCCCTTTTCTTTTTTCCCCTTCAAAAGAAATTATCTAATGAAAGATTTTTAGACATATATTCTAATAAAATTTTCTCTTGACTTCATCTTTTTTCTTTCCTAGTCTCCATTTTGGCAGAGACAGAAGAAATCAAGTCAATTTTGAAAGACAAGGGGATTGATGTGGAGACCATTGCTGAGGTGTATCCCATCAAAGTACAACCAGCTCGTATTCTCAGTCACATTTATTCCAGCTTAGGTAAGGAAATTGGCCAGCCCACATTCATAGAATTACTCAATACAGGCTGGTTTCTTTGCTTTTATTTTTTCCTGATCTTATATTGATTTATTAAACTGAATCTGAAAAGGAATTTAAAGTTTCTGGAATCTAAGTTTCTAACACTATATATTCTAAACAATCTTCATAATTACAAATAAACTATCTTCATAATTATAGATATGTTTTAGGAACTCTTTGCAAAATAGGGCATGACTATTACCTGGAGATATTGTATCTTCCTTCCAAGTGTATGCTTAATTAACGTGTATCTCACTTTCCTTGGAACCTGTATTTCCAATTTAAATATACACTAATTCTATATATAGACAAGAAACTTGTTTTTAAGTCTCATATAGTGTCATGCAATGAACTAGTTGATAATGTACTTAACCTAATGTTTATTTTTATTCAGTTAAACATAATGATGAACTTTTCACATTAAACAAGTTACTAAACTGTTAAAAAAAAAAAAGGGACATATGTATATATACCACATCTTCTTGATTCAGTTGTCTGTTTTTGGACATTTGGGTTGGTTACACATCTTCTCTATTGTAAATAGGGCAGCTATAAACATAGGGGAGCAGGTGTCCTTTTGAATTATTGTTTTTGTGTCCTTTGTTGGGTCATATGGAAGCTCCATTTTTAGCAATTTGAGAAACTTCTACACAGCTTTCCATAGTGGTTGTGCCAGTTTGTATTCCTACCAGCAATGTAGGAGAGTTCCTTCTCCACACCCTCACCAACATTTATTTTTGCTTGTTTTTTTAATATGTGCTATTCTGACTGGTGTGAGGTGGTATTTCATTGTGGTTTTGATTTGTATTTCCCTGATTGCAAGTGATGCTGAACATTTTTTCATATGCCTGTTGGCCATCTGCATTTCAGCAATCAAAAAAAGATAAACTTATGCCATTTGTGCCAACATGGATGGAACTGGAAATATCATGCTTAGTGAAATAAGCCAGAAAGAAAAAGAAAAATACCGGATGGTTTTACTCATAGTAGGAGTGTAAGCTCCGTAATATACTCCTAATCTTACACTCCTATCTTATATATATATGTATTGCAATAAAGTATAAAAGAACATTAACTAACAACTATAAACCAGAAACATTCTTGGGGGGGAGGAGAGGGGAACAAGATCAAAACTGGGGCAGGACAAGCACATCAGACTATGGTGATGGCACATGGGTGAAGTGGTGGTGGGAAGTCCATGGGGATTACAATTGAGATGAAAAATGAAAGAATGAAGAATAATGTAAAAAAATGTATTTATAAAATAGAAAAAAAACAGGACATGTAAAATTTCTAAGCTATCTTTGTGGAAAACTGAATAACAGCTTCTAAGGTTATCCAGATCCTAATTATTAGAACTTTTAAACATTACCTTATATTGCATGAGACTTTGGGGATATGATAAAAATAAGGAGCTTGAGATGACAAGAATTATTTTGGATGATCCAGGCAGGCTCTCAATGTACTCATAAGTATCCTCATAAAAGTAATGTGGAAAACAGTCTGACTTAAAAATGGTCAGAGGTAAGTAGATTTTTTTCCAAAGAAGGTATACAGATAAACAAGTCATGTGAAAAGATGTTCAGCATTACCAGTCATCAGGGGAATGCAAATTAAAACCACAATGAGCTATCACCTCATACCTCTTAGAATGGCTATCATCAAAAAATCAAGAAAAAATAAATATTGGTGATGATGTGGAGCAAAAGGAACCCTTATGCACTGCTGGAGGGAATGTAAATTGTGACAGCTACTGTGGAAAACAATATGAACTTTCCTCAAAAAATAAAAAATAGAACTATTTTATAATCCAGCAATGTGAATTATGGGCATTTACTTGAAGAAAATGAAAACACTAATTTGAAAAGATATATGCACTGCTCTGTCACTGCAGCATTACGTATAATAGCCAAGAGGTGGAAACAACCTAAGTGTCCATTGATAGACAAATGGATAAAGAAGATGTGGTGTGTTAGTATATGAGTGTGTGTGTGTGTGTGTGTGTGTATACTTCTACATATGCACCATCATGCATCACTAAACAATGGGACTGCATCCTGAGAATTACATCATTAGTTAATTTCCTTGGGTGAATGCCATAGAGTGTAATTATACAAACCAAGATACTTTGGCTTACTACACATTTAGGCTATATGGTATAACCTACTAGGACCATTGTCATATGTGCTTTCTGTTGTTGACCTTCATGTCATTGAGGAAAGCATGACTGTAGATATATATAATGGATTACTATGCAGCTATAGAAAGAGTGAAATATTACTGCCATTTGTGAAACTACAGGGCGCTATGCTAAGTGAAGTAAGTCAGATAAAGAAAGACAAATACCATATGATTTTATTCATATGATGAAGATAAAGAAAAGAAAAACAAATGAGTGAACAAAACAAATCTGCAGATAACAAATTGTTAGTTTCCAGAGGGGAGGCAGGGTGGGAGTGGAGTTATAAGCTACAGGGATATTGTGTACAGCATGGTGTCTATAAACATTAAGATTGAAATTTGAAAAATTGCTAACAATAGATGTGAAATACTTATTGTGCTGATTATTTCTCATTGTACTTAATGTCAAATCATTGTTGTACACCTGAAACTAATATGATGTTAGATAAATAGATATTTATCTATTTATGTCATTTTTACTTCAATTAAAAAAAAGAAAAAGAAAAAGAAGGCAGATGGAGCTCAGAGTGTAAAACAGCAAGAGATTGGAATGGTGCAGCTATAAGCCAAAGATTGCCAAAGAATGCTCACAGCTTCTGGAGGCTGATGCTGGCAAAGAAACATACTGTCCCCTGGAGCCTTCAAAAGAAATCATCCCTTAACATCTTGATTTTGTTTTAAGTTCTCTAAGACTCTTTTGGATGCTTGACCTCCAAAACTGTAAGAAAATAATGTGTGTTGTTTTAAACCATTGCACTTATTGTTACAGCAGAAATAATAATAGCAGCTTTTAGTGCTGCAAAGTAAGGTGATGCTGTAACAGATATCTTTAAAAGTCTGGAAGTAGCATTGGAGTGGAGTAATAGATAAACACTGGAAGAATTTTGAGTCACATAATGGGGAAAGTCTTGATTGCCTTAAACAGACTATTCATGGGAATATGGATGCTAAAGGTCTTGCTGGGTTGGGCTCAAAAGGAAATGGGGAACGTGCTGTTGGAAGCTTGAAGAAAAAAGCTCATGTTAATATAGCGACAAGAAGCTGAACTGAATTGTATCCTGTAGTTAAGTAGAAATTGGAACATGTAAATGATTAACTTGGATATTTAGCTGTGACGATTTGCGAGCAAAATGTTGACATTGTGGTTTTTTTCTTGCTGTTTATATTAAAATTTGAGAGGAACCAGGACTTGATGAAATTTTCTGTCTGTCTAACCCAAAAGATGATAAAATTTAGATATTTGCCCTTGGAGAAGCATGCTCTAGAAAAAAAAAAAAGAGATCAAGGGTGTAGCTGAACCTTTTATTGTGCTTCAAAAAGATAAAAAGATCAGAGTATTCATTCAAATGGAGGGTTCTTTAAACAGATTGGGCACATGCCTCATGTATTCCCTCAACTACCTCAGCAGAATCTAGAAATAGAGATGGGTTTACCCAGGAAAGGTTTGGGGGGAGACCTTGCTGTCCAGTGGCATAAACATATAAGTCCTACAAGGTTTTGAGAAAGCTATACCAGCAGAAACACTACCAAATTAGATTGAAAGGGAAAGATAGAAGACAAGGTGAAAGAAGACTGCTAAACTCTCAAAATTTTACAGTCAGGAAGCTGGTTGATAAAAATTACTCAGCTGCAAACACATGCTACCTTTCTATAAAGAGGAAGGATGACTTAAAAGGAGTTCACTTGTACCTCAAAAATAGACTTTTAAACCACACAGGATCACTACAAAACCTTAAAACCTAATGAATTTTGTCTTTGTGTTTCAAAATTGGTTAGGGCTTTGACTCCTTTCTTTACTTTTATTTTATTTAAAATTTTAAAGTATATTCATCACATCATCCTTCATTTTTGTATAATGTATTATTTCCCCATGAAATTCCCACCACCAGTTCACCCGTGCACCATCACAATAGTCCCTTGTGCTCTTCCCAATCTTGTCCTGATCCTTCTCCCTTCTCCTCCTCTATAGAATGTCTGTGATCTGATGATGATTTTTACTGTATCATAGTTACTTTCTCCTGATTCTTTATTTGATTTCTCTACATTCCTCATATAAGTAAGACCATTCAATATTTTTCTTTCTGGCTTATTTCACTGAGCATAATCCCTTCTAGCTCCATCATGTTGTGCAAAGGGCATGAGTTTATCCTTTTTGATTGCTGAGTAATATTCTGCTGTGTAAATATACCCAATCTTCTTGATCCAGTCATCTATTTTTTGGGCATTTGGGTTGCTTCCACAGCTTACCTATTATAAATTTTGCTGTAGTAAACATAGGAGATGCAGGTGTCCTTTTGAATGAATGTTTTTCCTTTCTACCTTTGAGGTTTTTCCCCTTTAGAATGAGAATGTCTATAGCTCATGTCCTAAACCTGTTTCACCATTGTATTTTAACTTGTTTTCTAGTTTAAAAGGTTCACAGATGGAGAATTTTATCTCAGGCTTATCCCATATTTTCACCCATACCTGATTTAGATGATGAGTTTTGGGACTTTTGGTCTGGTAATATTTAGAAGAGATCTTGAACTGGGTTGATGCTGTAATATATTGAGGTTTGGGGATGAGTTGGGCAATGTATTTTGCATGTGTGAAGGATATGTATCTTTATAATCCAGAAGGTAGACTGTGGAAAGCTGAATAATGGCCCCTAAAGATTTCTAGGTTCTAATCTTGGGAACCTGATGAGCATTGCCATATATATCAAAAGTCATTTGCAGGTGTGATTAACATAAAGAGTATGAGATGAAGAAGATTATTCTGGACTATCCAAGTGGACCCTCAATGTTATCACAAATGTTCTTAAGAGGATATTAGCTTGTCAGATTTATGTACAAATACTTTGTCCCATTTAATGGAGTGTCTATTTGTTTAGTTACAGTTCTTAGTTTTTTCAGTTTCATGTAGTTCTAATTGATTATATTCTGTTTTGTTTTCCTTGCAACTGGAGATGAATTTGCAAAGATACCTCCAAAACCCATGTCATGAATTGTATTACTTATGCTTTCTTCTATTTATTTTGTGGTTTCAGAATTTATATCCAATTTCATATATACCCTTTTGTATGGATTTTTGTGAATGATGTGAGATAATGGTTGTTCATTTCTTTGCATGTGGCTGTCCAGCGTTTCCAACCCCATTTATAGAGGGATTTATATTCTCTCTATCAAGAGGGATCAAGAAGAGGTTTTTCTTGATCCAGTGTATAAGCTTCACTCTTGTGTCATAATTAGTTGTCCACATATGTATGATTTTATTTCTGGGCTCTCAATCTATTCCATTCAGCTGTATGTCTGTTTTCATTCCAGTATCATGCTGTTTAATTATTATACTTTTATAGTATAGTTTGAAGCCAAGAAGAGTGATACTGCTATTCTTTTTTTTTTTTTCAGGTTTGCTACCATGTAAAGTTTATTAATCTTTTCTCTATTTTTTGAGGAATGTCATTATAATTTGGGAGGGATTGTATTGAATCTCTATTATTTTGGGTAGGTTGGCCATTTTGCCAATGTTGATTCTTCCAATTCATGAGGAGGGAATATCTTTCCATTTCTTTGTGTCTTCTATTTCTTTCAACAATACTTTGTATATGTTCTTCACCTTCTTTGATCAGTTTACCCCTAGGTATTTAATTTTCGGTAGTATAATTGTGAATGGGATATTTTAAAAAATTTCTTCCTTTTCTATGTCATTGTTTGCACACAGGAAGGCAAATGATTTTTGTGTATTGATTTTTTTAAAAGATTGATTTATTCATACAGAACTGGGGTAGATATTTTAAAAAATTTCTTCCTTTTCTATGTCATTGTTTGCACACAGGAAGGCAAATGATTTTTGTGTATTGATTTTTTTTAAAAGATTGATTTATTCATACAGAACTGGGGTACAGGCCAGAGATGCAGAGGGTGAGAGGAGCCACCAGAGACAGAGTGAGGAGCAGAACAGGCAGATCTATGAAGTACACTGCTGAGGGGAGCAGCGGGCAGGTCAGGAGTGGTCTGACGCGCCATGTGGATCTCCTCCGGGGCAGGCGGGGATCAAACTCATGCAAGTGGCCCCAGCTTCTCAGTGTTGTACTTTAACCGGCTGCACCACTAGGGAGGGCCTGTGTATTGATTTTATAACTTTACAATTGTTAAAATGATTTATTGTTTTAATTAGTTTTTGGTAGAGTCTTTAGGATTCTCTATGTATATTATCATATCATCTGCAAATGATAACTTTTATTCTTCTTTTCCAACTTGGATTTCTTTTATTGCTTTCTCTTGCCTGATTGCTCTAGCAAGGACTTCCAGTGTCATGTTTAATAGTAGCAGTGAAAGTCTGATATAAGCTTGGCTCCTAGAAGATGTTTCTTCTAGCATATGGTGTTATCACATTTTTGTTTTTTTTACATTTTCCCTTCAGGAATTACTGGCTTTGTTCTGCTGCACCCTAGCTGTGAGTATGTTTTCAAGTGAACCAGTATCTTCACTTTGCAACATCTTCCCCTGCAACATCACCTTTTCAAAAAATGCATCCCACTCACCTGTAGAAATAAAGGACACACTAGATGAGCTGTTCTCCTGGGGGTCTCACAGCTTAACATTCTGTGATACTCTCTAGTCAAGATGTAAAACTAATCCAGTTTGAGGGGGAAGACATTTTGGAGTTTTAGAAGCAATTTTAAATTGCTAATGAGCTTTTGTGAAACAGAATATCTGACGCTTAGAAGCTAATGCGTTTTTCAACCAAATGTATGCACTTTTGAGTGGGTCATTGTGAACTATAAGACACAATTAAAAGATTTTAGAAAAGTCTTGCTTATCATTTGGACTTGGATTAGGACTTTGATCATAATTGGTTAATCCTGCAACATCACAATATTGCTGCTACCTAAGAAAAGTCACCAGCTTTTTTGGCATCCTAAACTCACAGATCCTTAATATAGACCTGACTCTCAGCTGAAACCTTGTAAGATTTGCTAAAGACTGTTTCCATCACAAGTGTTGGACTGAAGGAAGACACAGGCTAAATGAAGTTTAGATGAAGTCATAGTTGGATTGTTGCATATTTGGGTTACCTCTCTCATGGAGCTTTAAATTGTGAAACCATCCTTTGTGCTGACTGGACCATTTGGGTCAGTTGTAGATGTCCACAAGAAAAGGCTTTTTTCTGAAATTGATCTGCTGTTGGCTTTATTTCTGACATAGAAACTGATTGCATTTCTAATTTGCAATTTCAGCAAATTGGGAAAGAGTACATTATATAGAATGCTACTCCCCCTCCCATTCCTAACAGATTGGATTCCTGACCCCTTCTTAGTCATATCACTACTGTTCATGGTTGTGTTTGACTTTTCAGAATCACTGCCATTTACAGCAATCGGCTCACAATCCCTATTTGGATTCTTTGTTCTTCTTACTCTTTCCTGATTGCTCTACCTAGGTCATCCAGTACTATTTTGAAAAGCAGTGGTGAAAGTGGACATCCTTGTCTTCTTTATCATATGGCTCTTCTTATTCTAGGTATGTTCATTTTATCCCAAGTTTTTTTAGGATCTGAATCTTAAATGGATGCTGAACTTTTATCAAATGCTTTTTCAGCATCTGTTGATAGGATCATATGGTTTTTCTTTCTCATTTTCTTGATGTGATGGATTACATTCATTGATTTTCAGATGTTGAACCATCCTTGTGTCCCTAGGATAAATTCACTTGGTCATGGTTTTTTATACTTTTGATGCATTGTTGGGTTTGTTTTGCCAGGGTTTTATTGAGACATTTGTATCTGTGTTCATTAGAGAGATTTCTAAACTTTTGTGTGTTGTCTTTTTTTTTTTGTTTGTTTTGATATTAATGTTGGATCCATAAAATATATCTGGTAGTATTCCTTCTTTCTCAATTTTTAAAGAGTTCTTATAGGATAGGCACCAGTTCATCTTTGAAGATTTAGTAGAACTTACTTGTGAATCCACCTGGTCTTAGGTGCTTGTTTTGGGGAAGAATTTTTATTACTGTTTCAATTTTACTCCTTGTATTTGGTTTGTTCAGGTTTTCTATTTCTTCCTTATTCAGCTTGGGGTGGTTGTATAGTTCTATGAAGGAAAAACAAAAATCACATCCCCAATAAAAATGACTTTGGGACAAAAAAGTAGTAGCAACAGTTTTGTCAGTAGTGACATGAATGGATATTAACTATATATTTGGGGGGGGGTATAAAGTTTGATAACAGTGTTTATAGTGTTATTATATGCTTTAAGAGGGAAAATGCATGTGTGAATAAACTGACCATTTCCTCATTTTAAGAATTACTGGTGTAATAATTGCCCTTTGAAAGATAAAACAGAAATTCAGCTACATTCAGCAGAGACATCACTTACAAGATTATGTCAAAATGCTAAGCTGTAAAAAGAAAACATCTTAAACTGAGGAAGTACAATGCATATGAATGTGTATGTGTATACATACATATGTACATGCATAGTATTTAGCATATGAAGTATATATATTCGGTTAAATTTTCATTAAAATTGCCTTACTATTGTAGCTGGATTAGAGTTCAAGTCTTCTGCCTCTTAAAGTTTTAAAAAACGTTCCTCTGTCACATGAATTTTACTTTGTGTATAAGTTTCCACAAAATGCCCTATTAGATACAAGTATCTCAAAATACACTGACTTCTTTGTATAGTATTGTTCTATTGAGTAAAATATGTTATTACTGTATTATGGAAGGCACTCTCATTTCAATTTAATAGCTCATCTTTGAGGAGATTTTTGCTCAGCTTTGTATAATTTACATTAATAAATTTGATAATTAGTATAATTTGTTTGCTTTTTTGGGGTTTAAGAACATTCAGTATATGAGTATAACCATAAGTTTTTATGTGTATCTTTGTCTTTCATGTGTAAAAAAAAAGTGTGACTTCTTTATAAAAGCATAAGTTTCTTTAAGATTAGAGATAATTACTCTTTGTCTTTGAAAGGTATATAGTGCTTAGCATTGTGCTATGCATGACATGGATACTACTTTAAGACACAGAACTTAGTTTGTTAAATCTGGAAATACAAACTAGTACCAGAAGGTGTTTGCTGTTTGTATTTATGCACTAAAATGCCTTGGTCAATACTTAATTCTGTCTTAGGGTGCAACAGAAGACTGAAACTCAGTGGACGACCTTACAGACACATGGGAGTCCTTGGAACTTCAAAACTCTATGACATTCGGAAAACTGTCTTTACTTTCACTCCACAGGTGGGTAGAGTGAGCTTTAATGTGCATAGTAATGAATGGAAATAAAAGAGAAACATTGCAGAAACAAAGCATTTACGGTTCTTAAGACAAGTGTCAGAATCCCACAGGGTCTTGCACATTACTAATTAAGTTGTTGAGAAAGTATTTGTTGAGTTAGAATTGAATTTGCAGTACAGAGCTGTGCCAGGTGATTGTGACTACCAACAGTAGTCCTAGATGTTGCAAAAACAGACTAGGGATGCTACAAATGCTGGTGTATGTAAATTACTCCTTACATTTTTTTTTATTTTACAATTTAAAATAAATTTTAGGTTGTGGTTGCAAAAGACAAGGGTTGGGTGAGTGGGAATTGGTGAAAGGTGGTCAAAAGGTGCGAACTTCTAGGTAACAGACAAATAAGTACTAGGGATATAATATACAACATGATAACCATAGCTAACCTGCCTGTATGACATACATATAATCATACATCTATATGAAAATTGGTTTTGTTTTTCATTTTTCTTTATTGAAGTGCTATTGTTTTAAAACACCATATATGATTAAGAGGTACAGGTTCACACTGCTTTTGGGATTGTTTTCCTACCATTTACTTTGAGCCTATGTTCATCTTTGGAGCTCAGATGCATATTCTGGAGACAGCAGAAAGTTTGGTTTTGTTTTCTGCTCCAACCAACCATTTGTGCCTTTTTATTGGTGAGTTCACTCCATTTATATTTAGGGTGACTAATGATATATAAGGATTTGTTACTGCCATTTTCTCTTTAGTTTTCTGATTTTATCCATTTCCTTGCTCTACTTTGGATTTTTTTTTTTTTTTTGCTTTCTTGTTTGGTGTTTATTTTCCTAGATTTAGATAGAAGAGCTCCTTTCAGCATTTTTTGTAGAAGTTTAGTGTTGGCAATCTCCTTCTGCTTCAATTTGCCTGGGAAGGCCTTTATTTCTCTCTGTATTTGAAGGAGAGTCTTGCAGTACAGAATATTCATGGCTGGCAGATTTTTTTTTAAAGAATTTTGAATATGTTATTCCATTTATTGTTGTTTATAGGGTTTCTCCTGAGAAGTTCAATGGAAGCGCTTTAGAAGTTACCTTCCTTTCCCCCAGTCAACTTAAGCATTCTTTGTCTTGAACTCTTGGTAGTTTCATGAATCTGTGTCTTGGTGTAGGTCTCACTGCATTTATACAACCAGGTGTTCTTTAAGTTTCATGAACTTTTATACTCGAGCATACCCCTTGTCTTTATGTTCTTTCCAAAGAGAGTTGAATAATTCTCAGAGAATTTCTTTTCCTTTTATTTTTTATATTTCTCTTTCTTCTTCCACCTGAGTCCTTTGCAGTCAGTGATTGTCTTATATTTGGTCTATTCTTCTTTTATAGGTTTTACTAAAAAGTTTTTTTTTTAATCTTATCGGTGAGTTTTTTTTTAAAGATTTATTTGTTTATATATACAGAGCTGGGGTACAGGCCAGAGATGCGGGAGATGGGGGGTGGCAGTAAGAGGTTTCACCAGAGACAGAATGGTGAGTAGAACAGGATGATTGATGAAGTACGCGCCTGAGGGGAGCAGTGGGCAGGTCAGGAGGGGTCTGCCATGCCATGTGGGTCACCTCCCAGGCTGGGAATTGAACTCATGCTGAGGTATCTTTAGCTTGGTAGTGCTGTGCTTTAACCTGCTGTGTCACCAGGGAGGGCCCCATGAACTTTTTACATCCTGAATCTCTTGTTATTTTCTTATTTGAAGTTTCAACCTATATTTTGTGTTTCATTGATTTTCTCATGTTATCATTTTCCTAAATTTTGTTGTATCTCTTTGACTTATTTTTCAGAGTTCTCTTGCTTCACTTTGACTTGCTTTTCTGCATTTTCTTCCATCTCTTTGACTTTCTTTACTATGGCCATTTTGAATTCTCTATCTGATAGATAAATTTTTCCATGTTTTTGTGCTGGATTCTTGAGAGTTGTTTTCTAATGATGTCATAGTCCTTTGCAGTGTCAAGGTGCCATATGTTGTAATATATATTGTCTCCCTATTTTGCTGCTTTAGTTTTCCCTGTTTTATTTTTTTCAAAAAATATCTGTTGGACCTCCCTGGTGGTGCAGGGGTGAAAGTCTCAGACTATCACACTATCACCAGCCACTGTGGGCTAAGTTCAATCCCCAGCCAGGGAGCTGACCCACGTGGTGCAGCAGACCTCTCCTGTCTCACCTGCTGCTCCCCTCACCAGTGGAATTCATTATATCTGCCTGTTCTGCTCCCCACATTGTCTCTGGTGAATCTTCTCACCTTTGCACCTCTGGCCTTCACCCCAGCTCCTGTATGCATAAATAAATAAAAATAAATCTTTAAGAAACAAAAATACCTGTAACAGTAACTTTGAGGGAGTTGAACTACTTTTACATTTGCAGCAAGTAGTATTGTGATTCTATTTTTAGTCTGTTTGGTCTTTGCCTGATTATATAGGCATGGAACCTCTTTTTGTAGTTACTGAGTCAGACGAAAGAGAGGAGCCTGGAAGTGCCAGCCACTCATGCAAATGTGTTAGTGAAAGTGTGAAATGGGAAGGGCTTGCTCATGTTTGTGGCACTGCTGAACCCCCCTGGAATTTCTGTTCCAAACCAGAACTTCTACAATATGTGCATTGTCAGTGCACTTACTGAGCTCAGCACGATGTTGAAATGGTAGGGGAAAGGAAATTCATTCCAGTTCATCATCTATTCCTTCTACTGGAGAGCAGTATGGTTCCTCAAAATCTGTTTTCCCTCCATCAATGGAGTGTTAATCCATACTGTATAGCTGTCCCCTTCCCAAGGCACGTGGGCGATTGGCAGTACCCGAGTCTGTGATATCTAGACAGCAGCCTCCTGGTAGCTCTCTACACCCACTTCTTCAGTGAAGCATGGATATTCTGTGTGTCCCTGCTGGTGTAGTCTTTGCCTATCTTTGATGTCCAGAGGGTATTCCAGTTTCAACCTAAGTTACAGGGCTCTCTGGGTATAATGTCCCTCTGGTTAACTATTAGATCCTCTTAAGAGTGAAGGAAGGAATGTTCTCTGTCACCATCTTGGTCCCTCCTCCAAACTGAAGCATGCTATAAAATGGCCACTGGTAGCTGGAGGTAAAAGTTTGCCTACCAGTACTCCTTACTTTTAAACTTAAAAAACTACTTGATCTTTATAAACAAAAATAGCCATTTTTACTCCTTATCTCAATAATATATTTTCTTTACTTGGCAAGAGGGGAGAAATGAGACCCCTTTTTTTGGATATGTATCCCCTTCCAAACAAAAATATCAGTACTGTCTTAGCCATGATTATATACATTGTTAGCCTGATTTTCATGGTAACAAACTCAATTGTATGTTCCTATGAGGAGGAGAAACTTTTTCTGAAAAGAAAGCTTAAGTTACCCTTTTCTTATCTTACATCTGAAATTACACAGCTAAGATATAAACAAAAGAATAATAGGCCTTAGATTCTATTTGGCTTTTCCATTTGCTAGTCATATAGTTTTACTAATCTGTTTATGCCTCTTGGGTTTATTTTTCATTTATTAAGAGCCAAAAATCCCTCACTAGGTTATTACCAGATTACATAAAATTATGTACTTGAAAATACTGTGTAACCTGAAGCACATTTTACAATGTCAAAAATAACTACATGTATCAGTGGACCACCAAATACTTCAGAAAGAATTAGGCGTTACATTTGGAGGCATTGTGGCTTCTGTGATAGCTTATATACCCTTATGAATATGTGAGTATTTTAAAATAGTATTTCATAGTTGTGAGAGTAAATTATTCTGACCTATTATTTTTCTTTTTCTCAGTTTATAGATCAACAACAGTTCTACTTGGCTTTGGACAACAAGATGATAGTGGAAATGCTTAGAACAGACCTCTCTTACCTTTGTAGCCGCTGGAGAATGACTGGCCAGCCAACCATCACCTTTCCTATCTCACACACCATGCTTGGTAAAGTCGTATGCAACAAGAAACAAAACCATTTTTGAAATAAATCATGTAGTTAGCCCTTAAAAATCTTAGAGTAACTGTAGAACTATTTCTTATCATTTATGTTGTATTAGCATTTTTTATTAGTGCCTATTTTGTGCCAGGTACTTTTTTAGCACTGGTATATGTTGGACAAATAAAGCAAATGAGGTTTCTGCTTTCATGGAACTTATGTTTTAGAATAAGTATGTAACAAACTAATATACAAAAAATATTTCAGATGGTATGAGAATTGTCCGTCAGAAAACAAAATAAACTTAAGTTCATTGGGGGCTATCTTAACAAAATGATTTTTAAGTCAATTTGCAGAAAGTTTATCAGCAATTCGTTTTTAAAGAGTAAAACTGACTTCTGCACCTGTATTACTCCATTAATGCATCATGATGTTATAGATAAGTTGCCTGACTTCTTCCAGGGCTTTTCTAACTGGAGCATTAACATCTAGCAGAGAAGATTAAAAGTTTGTTTTTTTTGTTTGTTTGTTTTTTTTTTTTTGGTTGGGCTTCCTAATGCTGCTTACTGGAAACTGGATAAAAGGCTTTATTGTTCTCTTCATTCCTGGGAACTACATCCATACCAAATCATTGCTTTTGTTGTTGTTATGCTTTGGCATCTGTTGTTTCTTCCAAAAACCTAACTCTGCTGCCAAAGTACTTAGAATTCTTTTCATTACAAAAAAATCCTATACATTAAATCATTCAAAGTTCAGACTGTTATGAATTTTGGTCACATCTGTGCTTCAGACACACAGGAGTTAATGTGTGTCTTTCTTCATTTTTTTTTTCTTTAGCTAAGACAGTTACGGGTACCCATTTAATAAACACTATATTCCCAGAGTTATAAAGTCTAATTAAAAATACAAACTAGTTTACAAGAATAATAAAATGTTATTCAAGAGAGTATATAGACATACTAAACTATTTGATTAGTATATTACAGTGAATGTAATTGTCAAAAAATTTTCCTGACTAAGATAAGATTTATCCATGCTTTTTGTAGTAGTATTCACATAAGAAAAAGGGAGAAAAAATATTTCTTGAGGTGAAGAATAAAAATACCATGAGTGAGGTCTGGATGTAAGGATGAGCTTGACTTGTAAGTAGACAGTGAGAGACTAACCTGAGTAAAGTGGGCTTTTCATGTTAGAATAAAATTATCAACAAAATTGGATAAGTAAGGTAGGGTCAAATAAGGAAGAATTTGAAAATAGACATGTAGACAGATCTTTCCAGAAATCTGAAGCTATCAATTTTTTTGGCAAATACTAGCATGTGAAAGTGTTAAGGTATTACTGATTTTGCTGACAGTATGCATTTTAATGAGGAGAAACTGATGGCAAAAAAAAAAAAAAATCCAGGAAAGAAGGCTTGGTTGGTGGTGGTAAAAATAGAGGAAAAGGACATGAGAGTCATTTTAAGCACCTATAAGTTACAAGTTGTCTAGCTAGATATGTGAGATGAATCAAGATAATGTCAAATTTTAGAGACTAAATAATGCAAAGAAGCAGAGAAATGTATAGAAGCAGAGAAATTATGTGAGAAAATGCCAGCTGGGGCTGGTGTGAGACTATGGACCCCACGCAAGGAGGGAGCAAAAGCTGCTTGTGACCCTACCGGCCCCCACCCAAACCAGCAGCGTTCTCATGACTCTGCATGACCCCATTATCGGTTGTAATCCCTGTGGACTTCCCACCACCAATTTACCCAAACCTTCAACAATGAACTAATGACTGTTTTTCTCAAACTCTTCCAAAATTCAAAAGAGAAAGAATGCTTTCAAATACTTCTTATGAGGCAACCATTATTCTAATATCAAAAGTAAAGACAACACACAAGAAGAAATTACAAACCAATCTCCCTAACGAACATATATGCAAAATCCTGAGTAAAATCCTACCAAACCGAATACAACAATGCATTAAAAGTATCATACAGCATGACCAAGTAGGGTTCATACCAAGGAATACAGGATAATTAATGTAACTTACCAAATCAACAAAAGGAAAGATGTAAAAACCATATGATCATATCAGTAGATGCTGAGAAAGCATTTGATAAGATCCAACATCCATTTATGTTGAAATCCCTCAAAAACTGAGTATACATGCACATACCTTAATATAATAAAAGCCCTTTACAACAAACCCACAGCTAATGTCATTCTCAGTGGGGAAAAACTGGAAGCTTTGCCACTAAAATCCACTGCAACATAACAGTGTCCACTCTCATTACTATTTAACATAGTGGAAGTTCTATCTAGAGCAATTGCACAAGAGAAAGATATAAAAGGAATTCAAAATGGGAAAAAGAAGTAAAGCCATCATTATTTGCAGATGACATGCCAATATACATAGAGTCCTCAAGTTTCCACAGAAAAACTAATTGAAACATTCAGTTTTGCAAAGTAGCAGGACATAAAATCAATACACATAAATCAGTTATCTTCCTATATACAAACAATAAAAGGGTAGAAATTAAGAAAGTGATACTATTTACAATCACACACAAAAAGTTAAATAACTAGGGGTCAGCCTAACAAAGGAGATAAAAGAACTACACAAAGAAATCTGTAAGACATTGTTGAAAGAAATAGAAAATTTTTCTCCACTCATGGATTAGAAGAATCAACATTGTCAAAATGGTCATTCTCCCCAAAGCAATATACAGATTCACTGCAACCCCAGTAGAAGTATCAATGGCATATTTTTTAATTTTATATTTACTTAGAGCTCCGCTTTGATGATAATACTTTTTAATTTTATTTTTTAAATTTAGTTTTATGTCGGTTATAATCCCTGTGGAATTCCCACCACCAATTTACCTGTGTGCCATCATCATAGTCCCATGTATCTTTCCTACCCCATTTTTGATCCCATTCCCTACTCCATCCCCCTAAAATGTCTCTGGTATATTTCAAAGAAATATGCCATTCAGATGGCATCATAAAAGAGTCCAGTTAGCCAAGGCAGTCTTGAAAAGAAAGAAAGAAAATGGAGGTGTCATACTTCCAGACCTCAATCTATATTATAAAGGCATAATAATTAAAACAGCCTGGTACTGGAACAAAAACAGACACACATAAATGGAATAGAATTGAGATCCCAGAAATAAACATATATATGTGTGTGTGCGTCTGTATACACACATATATATACACATACACACACACATATATAATTAATTTATGACAAAGGAATCATAAACATAACAAGAATAGCCTCTTCAATAAATGGTGTTGGAAGAACGGGACAGTTGCATGCAAAAGAATGAAACTAGACCAGGTTCTTACACTATACACTAAAGCCTACTCAAAATGGATCAGACTTGGGTGTAAAACCTGAAATCATAAAATACATAGATGAAAACCAGGCAATTTTTTTCATGACATTGCTTAAGTGATGACTTTAGGAATACATCCCAACAGCAAGGAAAACAAAAGGGAACAAAAGACAACTATAAATCAGAGACATTCTCCAGGGGAGTGGGTAGGAAAGGGGTCAAAATGAGGGTAGGAGGAGCACAAAGGGGTATGGTGCTGGTGCATGGGTGAATCGGTGGTGGAAATTCTATGGGAAGTACACCTGAGAAAAGAAAGCAAACATTGTATGGGGGAAAAAGGGAACATAAACACCTGGGACTACACCAAACTAAAAAGCTTCTTTACAGGACAGAAATCATAATTAAAATAAGGAAACCTTACTGAATGGGAGAAAATATTTTCATACCATTCATCTGACAAAGTACTGACATCAAAGATATCCAAAGAACTCATAAAACTCTCCCAAACCAGTGAAAAAAGGGTGAAAAGAACTAAACAGATAACTGTCCAAGGAAGACATTAAAATGGCCAGCAGGCACATGGAAAAATGTTCAGAGCCCCTTATTGCTAGAGAAATGCAAATCAAGACCACAATGAGTTATCATCTCATACCTGTGAGAATGGCCCATATAGAAAAGAATAGAAACCAGGTTCTGGTGAGGATGTGGAGAAAAGGGAAATTTTCTATACACTGTTGGCAGGAAAGCAGCCTGCTCCATCCCTTATTGAAGGTGATATGGAGGTATCACAGAACATTAGGCATGGATTTGCCATTCCAGCCATTTGTTCCACAACTAGGCATCTATCCACAAAATTCAAGGAAACTTTTGCTTCATTGTTTATTGGAGCACTATTTACTGTAGCTAAACTATGGGGAAAACCTGTGTGCTTCAGAAGAGATGAATGGATTTAGAAGATGTGGTATATTTAAACATTGGAATAGTACTCAGCAATCAAAAACCATAAGCTAATGCCACTTGCAGCTACATGGATGGAGCTCGAAAGGTTAATGCTAAGTGAAGTAAGTTAGAAGGAAAAAGATTAATATTGGATTAGTATCATTAATATGTGGAATATAAAGTAACTAAATTAACAGATAGAGGCAAGCTGAAGTACTAACCCTGATAGCTGAATAGAGAACTGAAATACCAAACTGGAGGGACAGGGGAGAGCAATGAAGTGGAAGGGAGCACAGTGGTCTGTTGTGATAGAATTTGGGTGAATTCTTGGTGGGTGCACTATGGGATGGCCCATCAGGTATTACCACCATAGTGGTACATAAGTACATAACTAACAATGCAAGAAAAATAAAAATAAATTGTATATACATAAATTGTTGACAATAAAGCAGATAATTATTTGCCATACATATGATTGGTATAAAAGTAATATTCCCAAAACATGAAGAGCCCTTGAAAGTCAATTGAAAAGAAGATAAACTACCTAGTAAAAACATGTGGAACGGAAATAAACAGGCAGTTCATAAAATAAATATAATGGCCAGTATATACATGAAAACATGCTCTATATCACCAGCAAAATACCTACAGTGACCTTTTTTTTTAAGATTTATTTATTTGTGCATACAGAAGTGGGGTACAGGCCAGAGATTCAGGGGCAGTGAGAGGCTTCACCAGAGACAGAGTGGGGAACAGTACAGGCAGATTGACGAAGTACACTGCTGAGGGGAGCAGTGGGCGGGTCAGGAGAGGTCTGCCACGCCATATGGTCACCTCCGGGGCAGACGGGAATCGAACTCATGCGCAAGCGGCTTTAGATTCTCAGTGCTGTGCTTTATTTAACCCGCTGCGCCACCAGGGAGGGCCCAATGACCTGTTTTTAATATGTCAGATTAACAAAAGTTAAAAGGTAAACCATTGTTTATTGAAAGTATGGGGAAAGTTATTTTCTGTGCTGGTGATGGAAATATAATTGGCATAACTTTTTAGGGGGCAATTTGGCAGTCTATAACATTTTTAGTAAGGATTTCCTTTGTCTTAACAGTCAATATGGAAGATTTATCCTAAGGAAATAATAGAATAAACGCACAAAGATACAGGTACAGTGATCTTCATCACAGTGTTGCTCATAGTGCAAAAGCACTATAAGCATTTGCTATGGAGTCACTTGTAGTTATTGCAAAGAATAAGTAAGAACATAGGAAAGGAAGGAGAGGACAGTGGGAGGCAGTGAATAGGTCACTGACATGGGAGGAGTGGTGGAGGGTGAGTGAAGCATGTGCACATATGAGGCGGGAAAGTGGACCCTTAAAGTTATGCAGATGTGAAAGCAACTATCATATTAGTATTAAAGAAACAAAATGATTTTAAAATAAGTTTAAAAAGTGAGTCTTGAAAGAGTATATTTAGTGTGGTCCTCTTCCTATAAAATCAGATAATTGTTAATCTTCTAAAGTTTTATGCCTGTAGGCAAACACACACACAAGCCATGGTTCATTAGATTAGATAATATATGTTTAGCATCATGCTTGGCATGCAACTTCAACACATGGTTACCAGTTTTATTTCTGTTAGCATTCTGTGATCATTAAGTGTTCTACCTTCAGACACTGTGCCAAGTACACATAATAAGCACACTACTGACTTTGAGGAATTCTGCTTGTCATCACACTTTTAGCATTTGCCTATTCTGTGGTATTGTTGATTTTCAGAAGAATTGTTGAAATACAGGGTGAACATTGAGAAGTATCTCATTTGCACTATCACCAACAAAGAGTTGGTTTGAAATAATTTAAAGTCTCTTTCTTCAAAATGAAAGCCATAAAAATTGTTTTAAAATTCTTTATTTAAAGATGAAGATGGAGCCAGCTTGAATTCAAGTATCCTGGCAGCTCTCCGAAAAATGCAAGATGGCTATTTTGGTGGGGCAAGGTAAGTGATCTCTACATACTGTTCGCTGAAGTTTGGAAACTGGAAATAATGGCAAAATTTCTAATACCTATTTCTATATCTTTAATATAATCCCAATTTGTGAGGAGGGGCTTGTGTTTGATTGATGGGTTCAGGGATTCAGTGTTGTAGAGGAGAGTTGGAACTCCCTCACACTTCAGTTCTTTACTTAGACTTCCTAAATTCAGTGGACCAGAAAATTGACTGTTTTTTTTTTTTTTTAACAGTTGACTCGAGTATTCAATTATGGTTGCTTTTAAGTTTTTATTTTGAAAAATACCGGATGGTTTCACTCATAGCAGGAGTATAATGGACCAGGCGAGAAAATAACAAGAATAATGAACAAC